GAACCTGGTTGGTTGGTGGAAGATGTCACGGGCCTGTAGGCCCGCGGGGGGGTGGTAAGTGGGCCCATTTCAGCAAACCCCACTTGTGAGCCCTCCTCCCTGGCTAGCCAGAGCCAATTGCGGGGCCGGGGCCCCTAGTCCCTTTCTGAGGGGGCACCCACAGGGTGCACGTAATGGGCTGGCCATAGTGGGTGCTACGACTTGGGAGGAGCCCCTGTGGCCTGGGGCTTGTCACGCTGCCCCTGTGTCTGTTTCCTCATCTGTGAATCAGCTCACTAGCCGTGGGTGCAGGTGACCTGAGAGGGTGCAGGTGACGCCCGCAGCTCACTCGTGGCAGCAGAGGGACCAGCAGTGATTACGGGGCCACAGCCGGTGTCGGGGGGCCCTCACTTGGCTCAGGTCCTTATAAGAGCCCTGCTCACGGGCCTGCTCTGTAGACGAGCAGCCGAGGCCCGGCGTCCGGTGGCCTGGTGCTGACGCCTGGCAGAGCCCTCCCCACGTCCTGCTCTTGACCTGCCTCAGGCTGCTGTCCCGCAAGAGAGAGGCAGCACCAGCCAGTCCCCGTCCCCCTGGGGGCCGCCCTCCCGCGGCTCCTCGAGGAGGCACCCTGACCCCGGCCCGTGTGTTTCAGACGAGGCGCGCTCCAAGAAGTGCGGCGTCCTGGTGCACTGCCTGGCGGGCATCAGCCGCTCGGTGACGGTCACTGTGGCCTACCTGATGCAGAAGATGAACCTGTCACTCAACGACGCCTACGACTTCGTCAAGAGGAAAAAGTCCAACATCTCACCCAACTTCAACTTCATGGGGCAGCTGCTGGACTTCGAGCGGACGCTGGGGCTGAGCAGCCCGTGCGACAACCACACGCCCAGCGAGCAGCTCTACTTCTCCACGCCCACCAACCACAACCTGTTCCCCCTCAACACCCTGGAGTCCACGTGAGGCCGGGCACCGTGGGCAGGGTCTCGGCCTCCCCAGGGAGCCCGAGGAACCCGGACATCGCCTGTGCCCGGAGGCCAGGCCGACGGGTGCTGAGCGCTCACCATCCGGGGGACGGAGCCCGGCAGCGCTCCCCGCGCAGGACTCGGAGGGGCCCTGCCTCAGACTCAGGGCTTCGGAGCCGATGGGGCCAGGACACTTCCTGCGAATGGCCCAGCCAGGTGGGCGGTTTTTAAAGACACCACAACCGAGTTCACTTTTTATTTGGCAGGTAAACCCAAGCCCCGGGGCACCGTGAGGCCACGTCTTCTTGACTTTCCTTTTTTAATGAAAAGTGTTATTTTCAGGCCACATGCAGCAGTGGATTGTATAAACCAGTATTTCATCCCTTTCTTGATCCTGCGAGAGAGAGAAGTGTTCTCAGTTTTGTTTTCCTTTCTATTTACAAATGCCGTTACTGGTTTTTTGTTTGCTTTTTTTTTTTTATGGAAAAGACGAACCCCCGTGTTGATCTTGACCAAATGCATTTTGCACATGTGTGAAGCCTGTTTCTGCAGCGGGCCCTTCTCAAAGGGGGGACCCCGCCACACCCATTGAAAAGTGTTATTTTCAGGCCACATGCAGCAGTGGATTGTATAAACCAGTATTTCATCCCTTTCTTGATCCTGCGAGAGAGAGAAGTGTTCTCAGTTTTGTTTTCCTTTCTATTTACAAATGCCGTTACTGGTTTTTTGTTTGCTTTTTTTTTTTTAATGGAAAAGACGAACCCCCGTGTTGATCTTGACCAAATGCATTTTGCACATGTGTGAAGCCTGTTTCTGCAGCGGGCCCTTCTCGAAGGGGGGACCCCGCCGCACCCATGTCCCCCAACCTGGCCCCGCCCCTGTGGCCCTGCGCTGGTCTGGTGAAGCTGCCGGGTGCGATGGGGCTGGGCCAGTGGTCTCTGCATTCTCTGCCCTCCCTCTCGTCCCTCAGGTGGGCCCGCAGACTAACCACGGCAGGAGCCGGAGGCCCTGCGGCTGTCCTGCTGGCAGGGAGGGGGAGGAGGGGAGGGAGGCCACGGGACACAAGCAGTAGCATTAGCACTCTGGGCTCGGCCCCTGGGAGGGCCTGGGCCCGGGCCTTTTCTCTACAAACCCACTACTTCTGTCTCTTTCTCTCTGTTTGTTGGTAACAGTGGAGGCCCAGTGGCTGGGGGAAGCTCAGGTGGTAGGGGCCCCGCCATGCCTCCCAGGTGTCTGTCCGTCACCCTGGCTGTTGCTTTGGGTCCGCTGCCACTCCCAGCCCCTTGGTCCAGTGAGGCCTGCCCAGCGCTCGTCTTGCCCATGCCTTCTGCGACCAGGAACCTCGTACCCATCCCATTTCCGTCCCAGGCAGGCGCAGAGGGGCGAGGGTGGGTGGGCAGTGAAAGGGGTGCGAGGCTCTGTCCTCCAGCCCCACCCCCAGTATCCACAGAACAAAGCCACGGATTCCGTTAGCCTCTCCAGTTTTGTTCCTTCTCCAGCCTTGGTTCTACCGGGTGTCGGGACCGCGTGGGGCCAGGGCGGGGAGCGGGTGGCCGGGTCCCTGAGCGGGGCCGTGGCCCCTCTGCCCCACTGCATCTTACCTCTCGGGGGTTGTTTTCAGGGATTCTTCAAGGCAGCAGATTCAAATCTTGCCACAGTCGAGAAATTGACAAAAAGCTTCCATGCTGTACATGGTTCTCTTTCTCTCTCTTTTTTACTTTTAAAGAGAAAAACCCAGAAAGATGCATCAGATTTGTGTAAATGAGAGTATGCCAAGAGGGGCCAGTTTTGCTTTATGACCTTATGAAGGAAAATTTGTGACCCTACATATATGTACACACACACACACACATCCCCAGCCAGCGACGGGACTTTGTTTATATTGCAAATAAATATTATTTTTTCTTTAAAATGAATCGCGGTGTCTGAAGGGCCGGGGACCAGGGGACACTGTGGCCAGCATCCAGCGCCTGTTCTGTGTGAAGTGGTGGCTGGAGTCTGCCGGCACTTGCTCCGCTCGGTGGGAGGTGCCCACAGCCGGGAGGAGCGCCCCGCCTCAGGGAGAAGCGGGGTGTGGGCATTCCACGGCCCCGGGTACTGGCAGGCCGGGCACCGGCTTTCTCTGGGCTATCGCTGATTGGCTGACAGGAGAAGGAGGCTTGGGCCTGTTTCGTGGACTAAGGTCCCAAAGCTGAGCCCTGCTCCGCATCTCCCGAGTCTGTCTGCTGGGACATTGTCCAGGTTGCCCAGGGCTCTGTGCCCTGCAGCCCCAGGCCCTGTGGGTGGGACGGGCTGCCCACTGATCACCCTCCCCTACCCCTGCAGCAACGGGGTGCCAGTGGGGCATGAAACCTGTCAGGGATGGGTCAGCCTGCTGCTCCTTTGGAACTAGGTGACCTGCAGGTCCCTCAGCCTCCCTGAGCCTGTTCCTATCTCTGTTGAGGGGGGCCAGTTGCCCAGACACCCAGTATCCATTTCCTGGTCAGCCTGGGCCTAGGGGGGAGTTGGCCATCCACGCAGGCCCTCTGGGGCTCAAGGCTGGGCCCTGCCGGGAAGGGCCCGCAGAAGGATGGTGCCACGCCCGGGGCAGTGAGGCCCCAGTGGTGACAGCCCCATGTTACAGACGGGGAGACGGGCTTCAGAGGGGCTTACGTCTCCTTCATCTCTAACTGGATTGAGTGACCCCAGTCAGGGACAAGGAGGCTTGGGCGCTGACTCGGTTTCCCCATCTCTGCCTCTCACGTGACTTGATCCCTTCCTTCCATGTGACCTTTCCCAGGGGTCGCTCTGGGCTCTTTCTCTCCCTGCCCCGGCTCTGCCTGGAGGGAACCTGACCAGAATGACCAGAACCATGGCACCGGCAAGCCTGTGTGTGGGGTAGAGGGCCGGCTCTGTGAGCAAAGGGACCTGGGCCGCGTCCCGGCTGTGTGGCTGCCAGCTCCTACCCCTCTCACTTGGAATGTGGGCACTGCTGTGTGGCCAGCAGG